TTTTAAACTGCTTGAAGATAATATCTTAGAGACTTAAATAAAATTTATCCAAGTTCCCTCATATTCTAAATATTAATACTAGAAATTAATTTGTTCAAACCAGTGGCCTATAATGTGGTACATTGTCAAAAGTGTTTGACTAAATGTTAGATGTGTTGGGTTTTAGCTCTAGTTCTTCTACTTGCGTAAGCCATAATCCCTTCTGAGCCTTAGTACAAATTTTAAATAGAGGTGATATTCATTCAACATTCATTTATTTTTTCAACAAATTTTCATTGAACATCTATCTATTTTGTGTCAGAAACTGATCTGAACACTGGGAAAGCAGTGATCAAAACAGACTAAATCCCCTTCCCTCATGAACTCACTCTAGGAGGGGAACACACAATAAATTAGACTAATAGAGGTATCACTCTACATAAGCAAAATACCATGTGCTGATGAGGATGCAGAGCGATAGGAACACTCATTCATTGATGGTGGGAGTGCAAAATGGTACAACCATGTTGGAATTTTCTTATAAAGTTAAAATATAGACTTTTCATATAACCCAGCAATCCTGTTTCTAGGTATTTACCCAAGAGAAAATGAAAACGTAGGCCAAGTAAAGACCTGCATGTGAAGCAATATAGCTCCAAAGTAGCAACAACACAAACATCTATCAACCTGTGGTTGGATAGACAATTTGTGGTACATCCATACAGTGGAACACTGACCAGCAATAAAAAGGAATAAATTGATGCATGCAACAAAATGAGTAAATCTCAAAAGCATATGATAAGTGAAAGAAGCCAGACACCAAAGGCTATACACTCTCTGATTCCATTTATGTGACATTCTAAAAAAGGCAAAACTTTAGAGACAGAAATCACATCAGTGATTGTCAGGGGTTGGGGTGAGAGAGAGACTGTGAAGGGCCATGAGGAAATACTTTGGGAAATATTGTATGTTCCAATTATAGTGTTATTCATTTGTTGAAACTCATGTGAGGGTACACTTAAAAGAGGCATATTTTATTGTATGTAAATAATACTTCAATAAATCTTACTTTTAAAAAGATAAATAAATTATATAATATTTTAGATTAAAAAAAGGAAGAGAGAGAAGAGAGTTGAAATTTTAGATGGAAAGTCCTCAAGCAGGTGATTTTGAAGATAGTGAAGGAACAAGCCACATAGATGTCTGGAGAAGGGCATTCTAGGCAAAAAGAACAGCAAGTATGAAGGCTGAAGGGCAAGATTAGTGTGGGTGGAGCAGAGGAAGAAGTAGAAGACAAGATAAGACAGGCAGTGAGGAACAGCTCATACAACATCTTTGAAGGTAATGGGAAGTCATCAGTGGGCTTTGAGAAGCAGAGTGACATGATCTGACTTGGGTTTTAAGAGAATAATTCTTGTTGCTTCATAGAAAACAGTCTGTGGAAGGGAAGGGTAGTAGAATCAGGGACACCATTTGGAAGGCAATTGTCATAATTTAGACAAGAGATTACAGAGGTAGAGAGGGTGCTAAAAAGTGTTCAAATTCTATATAGAGAGCCATTAGATTTGCTCAGAAATCTGGCGTGTGGGAAATTTTAAAGGAACACAATTCAGCCCACAACGCCCAGGGATATGGTTTCACAATGAGTAGGACCATCTCTCTTATGCCCTAAAAACCTGCTTTTATAATTGAAAAAAAATTCTGCCTTCCTTCTTTTAGATATCAAAATGAAAATTCTGGAAGAAATAAAATTAGCTTTCTACTAATCATCTTTAGAGCAAGTTTTGATATATTGAAAAGACCCCAGGTACCCATGTAAAGAAGAGATGAGCTACACAGAGGAATGAGTGGAAGCTGAACACAGACTTCACTGAGACCAGTAATGAGCACTCACTTATGAGAACATATTTTCTTACCCTTCACATAATATTTGCACAGTACTCATTTATAAAAACAGGGTTTTTTTGGGTGGTATATAAAAACTATTTTGCCTGCAACTGAGAGCTCTAAGGAATGTTTTTATGAAGTAAACTTCTTTCCCCAGAGTTGTATTTCTTTTCTCGATCTTTTCCTATTTGTTAAATAATAAATGTAAAGTGCATAAGCTGAACACCTTATATTATCAAGAATTGCATTTATAAATAGAAAAATATGCTAAGCTAATTGAATTTTACTAGTACTACAAATATCTAGGAGGAATAGTGTTCAGAACAATTAGCATATTCATTTCCATAGTTAAAGGGAAGTGCTTCTTTCTCCAAAACAAGTTATCAGCAATGTCTCTAAGCATTTATTTAGCATGACTAATACTATAAAGTATGTAGTGGTGACACGTAAAATACCTAGCAAAGGGGAAATGAATGAATGAATAATGAATGTAGCAATAGTTTACATGAACGAGAATAATTTGCTTAAAATTTCCCAACAGAAGTGGCAGATACTCTGAGTAAAATTATCATACACAAAGTGCCAACACTGACATTACACTAATCTGATAAAGAATTCATGGCAATGTGCCCAAAAGGTGAGATAAAGTTGAGTGGCAGAACAAAGTCACACCCTCTAATAAAGAAAACATAACATTAAGAAAAGTGGGTTCTACTCTTCATTATGCTTTGATTACTGGTAAGTTATAAATCATTAACTTGTTCTATAAAATAGATCTTATCTGCTCCATAGGATTTCATTAAATATAAAGTGACTATAAAAGGACTTTGAAAAGAAAAATTGTTATATTCCTTGGAATTAAAACTTTAATTTTAAAAATTAAAACTTTAGTGAACTTATTTTTTTATTTTTATTTTTTTGTGGTACGCGGGCCTCTCACCGCTGTGGCCTCTCCTGTTGTGGAGCACAGGCTCCGGACGCGCAGGCTCAGCGGCCATGGCTCACGGGCCCAGCCGCTCCGCGGCATGTGGGATCTTCCCGGACCGGGGCACGAACCCATGTTCCCTGCATCGGCAGGTGGACTCTCAACCACTGCGCCACCAGGGAAGCCCCTTAGTGAATTTATTTTAACTGATGTTTAGAGACTGGAATTGCTAGATAGTTGCTAGAGCAATCATTCACCACTTTTAATAGTTATTTATTATACCTACATGCATTTATTATTCACCATCTTTTTCATTTATAATGGGTTTTAAGGACATAAAAATCCAGTGGAATTTTTGGAAGAATACTTTATGATGAATACTTGATTATAAAAACCCTCCTGCCTATTTAAGCTTTGGCTGCTTTTCTCTGATTGTATATGTATCAGTGGTTGAGAAACAGTACTTTAAAGAAATTTTAAAATTACAGCAGTAACTTCAGTTACGGAGAATTACATCAGGGTCATAAAGCCTGAGTCTAATTTCTTGTTTCACCACTATCTATATAACTCTGGACAAATATTTCAAAGCATTAATAAATTTCTTACATCCAAGTCTGTGCCATTCCCTCCATCTAAACCACTCTCCATCTCTATTCCTCAGCACCTAATTCCTACTGATGTTTTGGTCTTCTATGTCACTTCCTCCAGGAGGTCTTCTCTGAACCTGAAATCTGGGTTAGGTGCTCTTCTGATGTAGTACCATAGTATTCTGGACCAATCCTTTAACACAGCACTTATTCCATTGTGTTGTCTGTTTGTCTACATTTCCTACTAAACTGGAAGCTCACTGAGAACAGAATACTGTTCATGATTTCCCTAGCACCGAGCACAGTGCCTGGCGTGTAGTAGGTTTGAAAATTCAAGCAGAGGTAATTGCATATCCTCGTAAAGATACCCAAATTAGGTGACACTGCTCTCTTTTCAACTAAAGATAAATGAAAAGGCATGTATCAATGTTATATCTCATTCTGATCAAATTGTTCTTCCCATCTGCCTGCTTTCTGAGTGTCCCTGACACATCCTTCATCTGCATTTGAATCCTGTTCACAACACCCTCACCATTTACTTTTATTGGGGAAGTTATTTTATATCCCACTTTGATTTTTTTTTTTGTTCTAAAACAGAGATGTACTGTTAAACATATCTCTAATTACCGAGAAAAATTCAAAGTACTAAAAGTCATCTTATTTTCAACTCTATATCATTACATCATTCTTAACAAGACTATAATATTGCACTGTTTTGGCCTAATTTCAACAATTTCAACTTCTAATAGTAAATAAAGATGATAAATCTTCAAAGGAAGATTCTGAGGGCCTATCTGAGCAGTTTATAAGAAGAGCATTCGTAGTTAATGCATAGGTTATAATGCCAGGTTGATGCCTAGTAAAGAACATATTGTTTCAAATATTCACTGTTTAAAATATATATATAATTACAAAAAAAAAATCCTAAAATTAAATCAAAGAAGAGTAATGTAATGTTCACATATACTCTGCAAATACAGCCTTAGAGAAATCCCAAACTTCTGGCATACAAAACTAGAAAGTGTAATAGGTACAATCCCATCTTTAATCCTAAACTGTAATGTCACCCTCAACAGGCAATATGTGAGTACTTTTATCATAAATGTCATAGGTTCCAAAAGCAAAAATACATTTCAATTCAGTGATATTTTGTTTAAGACTTTAGCATATTTTCAAACATCAAACTATGCAATTTAGACCAAATGAGTCTCTTTTATCTCACTGCTTTAAATCTGAAATCTTATCTTTCACTACTGTGTTCTTCAGATTACATTACACGGAAAAGGTCCTAAAGGAAGACCAAAAACAAAAATATTTTGAAAAAAAAATCTCTGTATAGTAAAATTGATCTTGGTTCATTATCTACTTAATAGGGAATGCTCGACAAATAAAACTTCAAAAAGTTATTCTTGGCAAAGATGTTATAATGAAAACTCAAGTATTCAGATGAGCAGCTGATTAGATGACTCTTAAAATCCTGTTCAACTCTGAGAGACCAGGATTTAGGTCATGAATCAATTTAAGGAACTCTATCTGCTGAGTAAGTTCCTTGTATTTCTTATAACAATAGCAATATTGGTAGAAAGAAAAGCCCCACAGCCAACAGGGGAAATGGTACTTACGAATATTGTGTCAGCAGTTCCAAATCATTATGCATGTTGATTGGATATGCTTCACTGAGTTCAAACAACTTCTCCAGGGCCTCATAAATGAAAATGATGCAAATAAGAGAAGCAAAAGCTTCTTCAGTAAACCGGGTGATATAGCAGACAAGGGAGCTTGCATCAGTGGCCACAAGTATGATACACAGGGTTGCAGTCCAAAGTCCAATACTAGCTCTTAAAGATAGGTATGACAGCCCATATTCTCTGGGGGGGGGGGGGAAACAGTGGAAAGAAGGTCATTTAACAGCTTGACGCCATTTTAAGTAGATGGAAGTAAGTCTAATTCAGGAATTGAAAGTAAATAAGCTTCACATCCCATGAGTATCTAAACTCAAGACTTTGTCTAAAGGGAACACCTAAGGGTACAAAACTCAAAGAGGTTTCTCAGTGCTTAGAGCTGAATATAATTTTTTATAAATATTACATAACAATATACATCAATATTTTACTGTTCCTTAATTTCCATGGAGAGACAAAAATGGCAAAATGAATCAAATCAGCGACTTCTACCTCTCCCAGCAGATCTCCAAATGTGATGTTGGAAGATTAAATATAGTAGAGAAATAGAAAGGGGCTGAGGGCCAAAAGTATATAACACTTACTTGCAAAATTTAAACAAAATCTTTTCAAACACCAAAACTGGTCCTGTACTGCCTAATATGGTAAGAGGCTGTCCACCAAAGAGAGAATAGGCTATCCCAGTCATGGACGCTCCAAAGAGAGATTCGATTGCACTCTGTGTAGAGATATAAATGATTCCATTATCTAAGCTGTACAGGCTGCGATTATAACTGGGGAGAAAATATGTAAAATACATGGGTCTTTTTTCCCTTTGCTATGAAGGGCCTAGCAGCCTTGGGCAGGAGGTGGGGTAGGAGGATAAAATAAAGGCGGCAGGCAGTCAGCAGACTGTGAATGGTAGTGGACAGGGATATGTCCTCTCCCCCTTCCTTATCTCACTTTTCTTTTGCTTACTAAAAGTTTACATGTATTCATAATAAATGTCTGGCAGAGGCATGGCCTATATAAATAGGAAAATGGACCTCTTATGAGGCAAGAACCAGAGGCTAAAGCTAGCCTAGGACTGGGGGGCCAGGGATGAGATCAGAACCTTGTGTAAGATAAGAATTAGTTGTTCTGAGATATTCCACTCCCTGATTACCAGTTCCATTAGTCATCTAGGAAATTCGTATGAACTTTATCTGCCAGACCATACATCAAATCTCTCCTCATAAAGGAAACCAAAATTAAATGCAGACTCATCTAACTATGAATCTTAAAAGCTGATTAAGTTTCAAAGTTCAGAGAAAAGCATAATACATACTATTCGCCCTTCAGTTGCTTCTCCTAGCAGTCCTCCAAATGTGATGACAGGAGACATACACGCGCAGTAGAGAAACAGAAAAGATGCTAAGCACTGCAAGCTGAAAGCATCTCTGAAGTCACTCCAGAAGTATGGAGCTTTTCTTTTGATATCTAAAATAAGTCCCCCAAAAATCCTAAGACAGGGGGGAAAACACAATAGTGACATACAAATATAAAAATCACATAAATCAAAATGCTCATTTGCTTTGTTGCCAGGTCACAGTACAGGTTTTTCCATCAGCAGAGATGAGACTCATATTAACATACTAGGTTTTACTATGATGATCTACAGGAATGGCTTTGTACCACTATGTCACTTCAATCCCTAACCAAATATTGTGTCAACAGCCAAAAAAATCCTAGGTTCTCTCAAACAAGGTTCACAGCGGTTCGTCAATCAAAATTCAAATAATGAGAGTTAAGGATTACTCTAATCTCTGTGCCATTTTACAACAACCTATTCCTAAAATCAGGCCTACCATCCTCAGTCATTGGCAATATTTTCTAATTGTTTACATTCCATTTAGTGTAGCAGAAAGTAAAGGAGGGAAGGTAAACTGATTTCTGTACAGTCCAATAGTGAACATCAACTTAGAGAGAAAAAGTGGCATATAACCATGGCTCCAGTTACCCACTCTCTTTGTGAAAAAAACCCTTGCCAAATAATACTCCAGACAGGCACTTAAATGACCTTATGGATGATAATACTTAGTAGAGAGAGGTAAGTTCCAGAGTTGTTTTCAGTTTTAGGAAACTAAGACAGGGACCTTACAATAAGCAACCTAGATAAATGTACTTTTGATCCACTATTGTCTAAACATATTCAAACATCTATCATTCACAAGACAATAATGACCTTATTTGGGAAAAATGCATATATTCTAAATATATCCAAAAACCACATTAAAGCATTTGAAGAATGATTTTTGGGGGGGTGGGGTGGGGAAGAGAGAGGCATTAAACTGTGAAACATTGCCTAAAATCTGAGGACTGGAACTTTTTAATCTGTTAGGAATGAGAGCATTAAACAGCTATTCTCATTCTTTGAACATTTAATAACAATATGCAGATTTAACATTTGACTACCAAAAGCTCTTTGTGTTCTATGGGATAAAGATGTCATATTAAAATGAATAAGGCTGTGATTAAGTTCCTACATGGAGGTTAAAAAAAACCTATTATGTTCAATATACTGCCAGTATGCTAAATATACTTGGTTTATGGAAAAATATTAAAGTTTTGTTATTTATTTTCTAAATAGGAATATAATCTGGCAATCTAAGAATCACCTCAAAAATGATTGTTCTCTTGAGAAATAAATTCTGATTTGCCTTGAAAAATGTACCTCTTCAGAATAAATTCTATTATTTTTAATTGCCCTAATATAGGCACAATAGTAACATATAAGTAACTATCTTACTGTTACGTGAGTGATAGAATCATTATGTTTTTCTAGTGATTGCTTCCATCAGAGGGATGTGGATGGAGTAGGAGAGGTTGAGAAGAATGAAATTTCACTTGAAAAAACAGGACATTTAAAATTCAGAGAAGCTTGCAAAGAACCTGTGAGATTCACACACGCAAAGATCATCTTAGGTTAGGTTCCTTTACCTGTGTTTAGTAAAACACATACATAATTTTTATTTGGGGGATCATTTCTGAATGATTTGTTAACTTGCCAAAGTCACAATTCAGAACAGATTTAATCTACGAGTCTATTTATTCATTCAGTTATGATTTATACCCCACCTAATCCCCAAAAGAATTTGAGGTGGTTATGAGCTATTACTTAGTAGTTAATATTTATAGGTTTGATAGTACTTTCTACTAGACCACTCTTTTCTAATTGATTATTTATTAGGGTATACATTAGTCTAAATAGCTGTTATATTACTGTGTCATAAACGAGCTTTTAGCAGCATAAATCTAAATCCGGAAGTGGGAGGTCATTGAAGAGAACAGTGCAAGAGCAGCCCAGATGTGCACCAGCAACTCCAGGAGAGCAGATGAGTAATGGATACTTCAAGTCATGTCAGCAACAGAATCTGTGGAAGAACTCTGGAGAAGCGAAGATACCGGATATTGGTGACCTGGGAGGATTTAGGAAGCAGTAAGGAAAAGTGAACTTTGAAAAAAATCTAAGCTATGTGGCATGTTACACCTGAGAGAGAGAAAAAAAAACAAAAACAAAAACAAATAAAAAGACAGCATTTGAAAATATGAAAGTAAACAGAAGGAGTAACAATGTTTCTAGTACAGGGAAAAGGAAAAAATTGTTTGAACCATCTCAAATTAGGTACGGGAGCCTGAGGAAGACATTTCCTCGGAGACAAAACATAGATAAAGGGAAAGAATGCAGGAGAATTAAAATGCACAGAGTTGTCAGGAACTGGAAAGTCATCTTAGAGGACACAGTGAAAGCAGTACAGGAAATGGCCCTGAGGGAAGAGGAGCACCAATCCTGCAAAGCCTCTGCAATTGCCTTCAATTATAATGGAGGCTGTGTGCACACATTCCCTGAAGAGAGACCCACCCAAAGGTTCTGATTTTCTGCTCACACATTTCTTGGAGAGAGACAAGCTGTCAAAACACCACAAAGAATCATTTTAAGAAATAAATTGAAGCTTTCATCTCTTCAAAGATGTGTGATTAGAAAAATAAATCATATAACTCTTTCAAATTACTACCGTAAAAATAAAAAATGCTATTATATATATCCTACTTGCATGTAATGAGACAGTGTCTATAAGACTGAGTTCTTGGTATTTATTTTCATTTCCATCTTGAGCTGGAAGTTTTCAACAGGCTCTTTTGGAAAGGGCAACTGACAGTTTTCTTATTCATTCTAAGAATCTGTGGATGTGTTTTAATGCATAGCAATATGAAAGACTAGGTATATATTAAAATGGAATGGTGTATTCACTGTTCTGGCTTAATGATAATGACAATCATTAGTAACTACAGAGAAATCAAATTAATTGGCATATTCATCCCCCAAAGAGTAGGTATCCAAAGTATAAAAACAAATTAGGTCTCAAAACCGCAATTCCCGACACACAAAAAAGGTATATATCATTCGGTCTTTGAAGTCCCATACAAGGGCTTTTCACTAACCTTCCAGTTCGCTGGAGTTCAGGTCCACTATGTCCTCCGTGGGGCTCGGCTTCCCCATGAGCTGCTGTTCCATTTGGTACAGCAGGGATCTTTCTCTTCTCCCGCGGGGAGGTTT